GTGGTGTGGCGTCGGATCAGGGCGCAGACATGTTGGACCACCTGGCCTCAGCCAATCCCGTGTCTCTCTGCGATCCAATGCATGCGGGAAAGGAAGGCAGCCAACCAGAGAAGGACATGGATGAGACGCAGTATATAATGAGCGGCGTGGCCAGCGTGGCGGACTCGGATGGAAGGCGCCTGACGCGTAGCACTGGCTTCTGATTGGTCAATAAAGCCTGTTCTGTTGTACCAGTCTTTTACCTATTAGGGCTCGGGCATTCTACATTGGTGGCAGCGGATGCGTTCGAATAACGCAAATCGAACCCCAGCCCTTTCTCTTCAGTGGTCAACACAAGCAAAGACCCTTCAATGCAAGTTGAATTTGTCATGGCGGTCATCCGATGTCCAATAAAGTGGATCCATAGACATTGCCCGGGATTAGGATCATTGCATCTGAAGAGGCATTGGCAACTCATCGACGACGACTTGGACAGTAAAAGCCAGCTGGACTGCAACTGCGAAGGACCTTCAATGGATGATGAGTCTTTCCTGCAAGTCTACAAGAGCAAAGTCCCTCGTCAACTTTTCGCGTAGGCCACTATCCTGCCAGATGTGGGGTGCGGGGAGTTTCGAACTGGATATTTTACCAACACTGGAAATCAACAACAGTGCGGTGAACCAAGCAAGAAGCTAAGGACAGCTTCACTTCTGAGGTGAAGGCAATGTGGCGTCGGATCAGGGCTCAGACATATTTGACCACCTGGCCTCAGCCAATCCCGTGTCTCTCTGCGATCCAATGGCATGCGGGAAAGGAAGGCAGCCAACCAGAGAAGGACATGGATGAGATGCAGTATTAATGAGCGGTGTGGCCAGCGAGGTGGACTCAGATAGAAGGCGCATGACGCGTGGCTCTGGCTTCTGATTGGTCAATAAAGCCTGTTATGTTGTACCAATCTTTTTCCAATTAGGGCTCGGGCATTTTACAGTGGCGTCGGATCAAGGCGCAGACATGTTGGACCACCTGGCCTCAGCCAATCGCGTGTCTCTTTGTGACCCAATGGCATGCGGGAAAGGAAGGCAGCCAACCAGAGAAGGACATGGATGAGTTGCAGTATGTAATGAGCGGCGTGGCTAGCATCGTGGACTCGGATGGAAGGTGCCTGACGCGTGGCTCTGGCTTCTGATTGGTCAATAAAGCCTGTTCTGTTGTACCGGTCTTTTCCCTATTAGGGCTCGGGTATTCTACAGTGTGGTGTGACGACGGATTAAGGCGCAGACATATTGGACCACGCTGGCTTCAGCCAATCCTGTGTCTCTCTGCGTTCGAATGAGGAGCAAGGAAGATAAGCAGCCTGTAGAATACCCGAGCCCTAATAGGAAAAAGATCGGTACAACAGAACAGGCTTTATTGACTAATCACAAGCCAGAACCACACGTCAGGCGCCTTCCATGATAGTCCACCACGCTGGCCACGCCGCTCATTATATACTGCTCCTCAATCGTGTCCTTCTCTGGTTGGCTGCTTATCTTCCTCGCGTGCCAGAGGAACACCGAGAGACACAGGATTGGCTGCGGCCAGGTGGTCCAACATGTCTGCGCCCTGATCCGACGCCATAAGCCAACTAGAGAAGGACACAACTTAGGAGCAGTATGTAATGAGCGGCGTAGCCAGTGTGGCGAACTTGGATGGAAGGGGCCTGAGATGTGGCTCTGGCTTGTGATTGGTCAATAAAGCCTGTTCTGCTGAACCAGTCTTCTTCCTTTAAGGCCTCGGGTATTCGACAGTAGCGACAAATTAGGGCGCAGACATATTGGACCACACTGGCTTCAGCCAATCCTGTGTCTCTTTGCGTTCCAATGGCATGTGAGGATGATGAGCAGCCATCCAGTGAAGGAGACAAATGAGGTGTAGTATATAATGAGCGGCGTGGCCAGCGTGGTGGACTCGGATGGAAGGTGCCTGACGTGTGGCTCTGGCTTCTGATTGGTCAATAAAGCCTGTTCTGTTTTATCAGTCTATTTCCTACAGCCTTGACATATAAGGGCTTAGACATATTGGACCACACTAGCCTCAACCAATCCTCTTACTCTTCGCGTTCTGATATTTTGAGATGATGATAGGTAGCCAAAAGAGACAGATCCGTTTAAGATATTGCATATAAAGGGCGGCGTATCCAATGAGGTGGACTTGGATTAACGGCGCCTGACGTGTGGTTCTGTCTTGTGATTGGTCAATGAAGCCTGTTCTGTTGTACCAGTCTTATTCATACTAGGGCTTGGGTATTCCACATTGGTGGCAGCGGATGTGTTTGAATAACGAGAATCGAACCCCTGCCCTTTCTCTACCACGGACAACAGAGCCAAAGACCCGTAAATGCCCGCCGAAGTTGACATGGCTGTCATCCGATGCCCCATACACTATATCAATAGACATTGCGCGGGATTAGGACTACTGCTTCTAAAGAGACATTAATAACTCAGCGACAACGACAAAAACAGTAAAGGCCAGTTGGATTTTAAGCGAAAAGGAACCTACTATGGATGAAGCGACCTTCCTGCAAGTCTAAAAGAGCAAAGTCCCTCGTCAAATATTTGTTTGGGCCACTTTCCTGCTAGGATGTTGGATGTCGGATAGGTTCAAACTTGATATTTTACCAATCATCAACAGGCCAAAAGCTGAGAACAGCTTTACTCCCGAGTGTAAGGCTGTGTGGCGACGTCAGAGGGCGCATATATATTGGATTACCTGGCCTCGGTCATTCCTCTGTCTTTGTGTTCCAATGACATGCTAAGGAAGATGGGCAGCCAACCAGAGACAGACACGTCTGGGAAGTTGCATATATCATGTCAAATTAAAATAAGAAATCAGGCAATACTATGTGTTTTGTCTTCTACTGGCCTTTAACATAGACAACCAATTAAGACTCGCCATACGAAAAAACACAATTAAATTGACAAGAACGCAATTTGTGCAAAGAACAGTGATACATGTAACTTTTCTATACCGACGGTCACGTATTTTACGACAATAGCTTGCAGAACATCAAAGATGTCATGATTTCAAGTATTCAAAAATAAAAACTTATTTTAGATTCGTCTAAAGTCGATTTCATTGGAGAACATATGTTTCCAATCAGGACTCCGTTATATGGAAGCATAGTTGTGCAATGAAATAGCTATTGTGTAACTAATCACTAAACTTTAAAATAGCGCTACTATCATTTTATCCTAAGACAAGTATGCTGCAGCAATTCCAAAGCATGACAATAACGGTTTCTTATCATAACTAAATTTGATTAAATCGATTCTATTAACTGAACCTCATTTCTTATCACTTCAATAATGGAAGCAACAATTGCTCATGTAATCGATGTCCCTCAATGGGCAAAATTCCTACCTACTTACAAGACCTCATTAAATTTGCTAAACATGTGCAGTCACAGTCTATAAATTGGCAGTTAATAATTGGTAAGAAACGGGTCTGAACTAATGATAATTTTCATTTATTACTACTTTACTTTAACACCGTTATCTAGATTATAACACAAGCAAGTTAATTGCCCTAAACATTAAGTAGTAACTAAGGTTCCGGAAAACGTGTGATAGTATTATTATCTTCCCAATGTGATCCTATTAAATACTAAAATGAATAGTTAGTTCAATTGAGTATAAGAAACACAAGGCACATACTAACCATGAACATTTATCTAGGTAGTGATAGTGGAACTGCAATTCATCAAATAAACAATCATTCATGAAAGGTTTTTGGAGTTTAGTAATTTTTTCAAAAGACATTTCTGCTACAAATTTCCAAAGCAAAATCCAGAACAGAGCTAGTGATATCAACCCCAACCCAGGTGTTCCATTAAGCACTTTAAAGCCATTTGGCACTTGTCGGTAAAAAAAATGAACAAGACGTTATCGGCATGATATAACTGGAGAAATATAATAACCGCCACCATGTGTCGTGCTCAGATGTCCTCAAAACCAAAAATTGAATATCAATTCACTTTAGACATTTTACTACAAAAAATAATTGTTACTTCACCCAAAAAAGCAAAAGGATGGTGTGACGAATTCGATAAAGTTTGATATATTCAGCAATAAATAAGGTCGTATTCACCCCTAATTTCCCACAAAGCGACCTTTGACCTACACAGGATTCACAAACCAGGAACACAACATAAGACCTACTATTTTATATTTGCAATAACTTTAACAATGAAGCTATCGAGATGCAAAATGTTTTCAAAATTTAGGGAAATCGTTTGCTTCGGTTGTCTTTTGGGGGTCCACCTTCTAACGCGCGCTTTTGCTTTTGCGTGAAGGCAGTGATTTGATTCCTAATGAACATCTGCGTTGGTGTTGATATTGAATTATCTAATGGGGAACTTTATCTTCCTAAAAATATCTGCGAAAAGTATGCAGCAGCTGGGATTAATTCTGTATTTTCATGGCAAGCCGAATGTTTAAATATACCCGGTGTACTTGGTAAGCATTCACGGGGAAAAAGTTATTTCAATGTTAGAAGGAAAGAAAAACCTTGTGTATTCTGCTCCAACAAGTGCGGGGAAAACGTTGGTTGCGGAGTTGATTATGCTTAAACGTGTGTTGACAACGAATAAAAAGGCAATATTTATTTTGCCGTATGTTTCCGTATCAAGAGAGAAAGTTACTTCCTTACAAGTAAAATGTGTATTTTATGCTTGTTTTGTCATTGTTTCTCCTTGTATTTCCAAAAACTGTTTTAGTTTTTTTACGTTAATAAAGCATTGGCTAGCTCCATAGTGCTTTGTTTGGACGTCGTTGATGCTATTCTGTAAACTCATTCGATTCATACTTATACTAATGTATTTGCCTTTCTTCACTTCTGTAAGTAGTAAACGGGACCTAAAATTTCTTTTTTATGCACATATAAGCGGCAGGTGCTACTTTAGTTAAATAAATAAAATGTTTCAGTTTCTCATAAATCTTTGCTAGAACATTTTCGGTGGCGCGAGACTACGTGTTGGCGGTTTTATGGGAGGTGTAAATCCCAGCGGTGGTCTCGCATCTGTGGATGTCGCTGTTTGCACGATTGAAAAGGCCAACAACATGGTAAATCGTCTAATTGAAGACGAACGCCTTTCTGACTTAGGTGAGTTCTGAATCGTGCATCTCAACGCTAGCTAGTGCTTGGAAACCCATTTCCTTTCATTGTAACACCATGATTATTATAGTCGAGGTTGCTTTTCTACTTAATTTGTAGTTGATAAACAATAAACGTCGAGAAGACAATCCGGGATGCTTAATATCGCTTCTTATTTTGCTTTAAGGATTAGTTGTTGTTGACGAGTTGCATTTAATCAGTGATTCTCATCGTGGCTACCTACTGGAACTTCTGCTTACAAAAATCCTTCTCCACGAGCACATGGAGAACAGTCGGGGCCATACATCCTCATCGCCTAGTCAATGCCGAAGTGATAAGAACCACCACATTCAAATTATTGGCATCTCAGCAACCCTCTCTAGCCTCTCCGTTCTAGCCGACTGGCTTCAAGCTGCCGTCTACACCACTGACTTTCGACCTATTCCTCTCACCGAGATGGTATACTCTAAGGATACTGTTTATCGTGTAATGCCAGGGGATGGTACTAACCACGAGTAAGTCTGTTTCGCCAATCGATTTTGGTAACCCTGGGCAAAAGTGCCAAGCCTATTAACCTCTTCACACACCTTGATATCAGGGTTTTTCGGTTTTGATATTTGATCTCTGCAATGCTGACTGAAACGTGACCTTCTGAAACCGTTTGGTTTTGGATATTTTGACAAACCTAATCGACTCACAGGCATTTCAGCGTCGCTGAATGGGATAAAATTGCATCAGTAACCACCTGATCACGACACTGAATTGTAGGCTCTTGGAGCCAGTCAACTCAGCCGACGTCGGTCTGCTTACCACTGCCTTCGAAGGTGCTCTCCAAGTTGACGCCGACGATGGCGTCTCAGAACTCTGCTTGGATACGCTAATTTCTGGCCATGCTGCCCTGGTTTTCTGTCCAACGAAACAGTGGTGTGAGGAGCTAGCAGAATCCATGGCGCAGAAGGTTTGTGTACTTCTGTTACCCCACTGGAATTCAAACTTCAACACACATAGTTACAGCGGACTCTGTGTGCATCCCTTTCTTGTAGATATCCTCTCTGGCGGGGCCTTTCCTGCTGTCTAGAGGCGATTTGCCGTGTGAAACGGAGAACGCGCCTGGACTAATCCTAAGCAAGCACCTCAACGAAGCGGGACTGGCTGAGTGCCTGAGACAGCTTGGAAGCGGCCCTACCGGCCTCGATGCTTCGCTTTCTCGGTGCGTTCGTTTCGGCGTCGCCTTCCACCACGCCGGTACGCTCATTCGGCCACCTCTTTTTTCGCTCCAATTCCATCCTCCACACTCTTGAAGTTCTCCTAAATCTTTCCAAAGGCCTAACAATGGAGGAACGCGACATCCTTGAGGCGGCGTTTCGCCGGGGCTACCTCCGCCTGCTGATCGCCACCTCCACACTGAGCTCCGGCGTCAACTTGCCCGCCCGTCGAGTCATCATTCCCACTGTCCACTTCCACGGCCAGACCCTGGACTACCTGACCTACAAACAGATGGTCGGCCGAGCGGGACGCAAGGGCGTCGACGTGCGAGGTGAAAGTGTGCTCATCTGCAAACCGAGAGACCTCGGCAAGGTGAAACAACTCCTCTCTAGCGGCATGCCCCCGGTCACCTCGTGTCTGCTGACTCGCAGCGCCGATCCCGAGGCCAGTTTGCGTCGAGCTCTGCTTGAGGTGTGTGTGTGTGTGTGCGTGTGTGGCGTTTTCCTACACGAAGCTTCAGCATTCGCGTGGGGAGTCTTCACTCCGACTTCGCTGTTTGGCTTTCGTGTCGTGTGGGTGGCGTTGAAATTCAAAGTAGAAGTACTGGTGTGGGCGAGCGTTGGGCAAGTGAACCCCTTTAGTTTAGAGTATGAATACTTTTTGAGGCTGCAGTCACTGAAAATCCCACCACAACATGCAGGAGAATTCACGTAGTGGATACACCCGGAAAGGTTTCATTGGTTGAGAACTCTCTCTCTAAAGAATCTACAGCAGCTTCTTGGTTACGGTAGATCACTTCAGGTATGCTCGTTAACGATGACAAAAAAGTGAAACTCGCACAATGACCAAAGAGCCACTCGAGTTGTCTGCTTTTGTTAAATTTGTCGTTCGGAAGCAGCCTCGTAATGATATTGCCTGTCCTCACACAGCGCAACCCACCGAAGGTCTCTTGGAAGTGATTGGTAGTTGAATATTACCTCACCTTCCACAGTCTCCTGAACATGCATCCTCAGATTATCATGTGCTTTGAGACGACAACACAATCATGTAGATGGCCGTAAGTTGAAACCAAGATAATAACTTAAAAATGGCGCGATATTAAAGGGTTTGAAGTTACACTGACCTGGAAAATTATATGATTGCAATATTGGCTTCTACATTATTTAATTGGTTTATCGCGGTTCTGTGTGATTTTGAAGGGATCGAACGCACGGTTTCAGAACACCGAACTTCAAGTCTGCGTGAGTTATATAGCCTCTCAGAATTGCAGATTTTACGTTGGCAACAGATAAACAGTAGACATGACACTGCATTTTGTACGAATTGAACAAGAAACCAACTGCTTCTAAGGCACGGGAATCAGTTTGTAGTGTTCTTGGCGCCGGCGTTGTGTCTCATGAAATGTGTAATTACCAGTGGAGACGTCTTAGAAGTGGTGATCTTGGTCTTAGTGACCAGCCACGCCCCGGGCAGCAGCCTCTAGTGTTTGAAGATGCGGAATTGCAAGCTCTACTGGATGAAGACTCAACGCAGACGCAGCAAGAGCTTCCAGCTCAGTTAGGAGTCATTCACGTAGAAACTTCTTGTGGACGCTTCTGTCAAGTGATGCAAAGTATATTACGAGAATCCCAGGCGTAACACGTAGAATTGTGGTTAGATCTCGGGCATACCAGTTCATCAACGCCGAAACGGGACATCCGCTTGATAAGGGTTCTACTACGTATCCGGTGGTGGCGACTTCTGGAAGATGGTCAGATGGTGACTTCGAAACGCTACAGCCGACAATTGAGCAAACTGAACGATAAATTTAATCAGAAAAGGCCATTTCCTGGACAAGGAATCAGGCAAGTTCTTTGTTCAGATCGGTGTGGTAGCATGCCTTAGTGGATAAACAGTTGAAAATTTTGGACGATTTTGCGAAAATTCGTCGATGGCTTTCGTGGCTCGACAAAGTCTGCAAGTTTCATTCGCGACAGTATCCATGCGTCACCCGAGAGATCGCGCAAGCTCATGGAAGGCAATAGACAATATTTCCACGTTGTTGTCGTCTTTTGTATATTCAAAAAAATTTCGGAGAAATCTGTAAACCTGAAGTGATACGCCGAATATTTACTACTTGCCTCCCAGTCTAAGCTCATTGGCTTGCCGTGCACACAACTGCCATTTCGTGATTGGTCCTTTGCCAACAACTTGACGTCATGATTGCGCAGCCTAAAAAGCCAAGAGTCTGGGGGCGTTGATGGTGTCGCGTAGAGACATGCACATGCTAAAAGTGCTTTTCATTAATTCAGCTCAAGAGCTAAGCCAACTATGCCGATCTACGCTTCCTAGGTCATCGCGAATGGCATCGTGGATAATGTGGAGGATGCCAAGCATTACCTGGACAACACCCTCCTTTCGGCCTGTCTACGGGCATCTCGTTGTCGCAGGTCGCCCAGTCCAAGTCCGCGGCTGCGTTCGCGTCGCCGATCCTCCGGCTGTGGATACGCAGACATTGCTGGAGGCCTTCCACGTCTCCTGTCTGCCTGTCTGGAGGCGTTGGCGAGTAGCAAGCTGATCACAATGGAGGCCTGTGACGATGCTCCAGACCTGCTGCGGCCAACAGCGTTGGGCCGTGCTGTGCTCTCGTCGTCCCTCGGTCCTGTTGACGGCCTGACGGTGTACGCAGAGCTCTCCAAAGCCCGTCGAAGTGTTGCGTTGGACACGGACCTTCATCTGGTCTACTTGGTAGGTCGATTTTCGGCATTGTCTAATACCACCAGTAGCATAGAACTTCGTGTTCATTCACAATCTGATGTGTTGTTTTGTCGGCCCTAAGGTGACTCCAGTCTACCTAAACGTGGATAGGCCAATGGATTGGTTCCTCTACTTGGATATCTATCATAACTTGAGTCAGGAAGAACGCCACGTCGCCGACCTCGTTGGAGTTGACGAGCGCTTCATAACGCGGTGCCTGTCCGGTTCAACCACCGGACGCACCAACACGTCCACCGCCGCCTCTCTCCACCTCCTGCATCGACGCTTCTACATGGCGCTCATACTGTACAGCCTGGTGTGCGAAGGGGGTCTGGCAGGGGTTTCTGAGCGATTTGCCGTAAATCGGGGTGTATTACAGAGTCTGATGCAGCAGGCTTCCACGTATGCAGGTTCGTGTGTGTTCGAGTATTCCATAAGAGGAGCATAATGACGCCTGCGTGCCCCTAAACCACTCGAGTCTGTTCATCTCGCGAGCAAGACTACAATTTGGTGGTATTGGCTAGGAAGAGTTAAAGTATGATCAAAGTTTTTCGCGGGTTGCTTTCATGGACACAGTGGACCCGAGTAAATACCGATGTGTATCGCGGTTTTCTTTCTGGGTGTACGAGCTTTGTGTGGCTGTCCTCCTGCTATCATTCTCCCGCTGGCTAATTCCTTGGTTTGCTTTAGTGCAGGTCCTGCCTGACGTGTGAGTTTTGCGTGTTTTTTGCTGCTTCTCAACCATCGCCCCCTGCAATCACCTTCCCCTTTTACTCCACCACCACCATCACCACCACCACCACCACCGACACTCGTCATCGTCGCATTTTTTGCTGAATCTCGCCGACGTCGCTTTAAATTCTCTCATCGAATCGTTTTAAACGGGGCGAAGTGGACCCCACTTTCCAGGTCTTTTATTCTCATCGCATTGCCAGCATTCTGTTAGCGATTCGGCCTTTGTGGGGAGCACAGCCACTGGCTGACCCCCAGAAGCACAGGCTTGTTTTCTCATCGCCGCCATGTTACCGTCGTCGTTGTAGGCATGGTGACCGTTTTCTGCAATCGCCTTGGCTGGACTCACATGGAGAGGTTGTTCGCGGGCTTCCAGACTCGTCTCTTTTTTGGTGTCGCCAACGAACTGCTTGATTTGATTCGCCTAACTCCACTACTCAACGTCCAACGTGCCAGAGCGCTCTACTTGGCTGGATTCACGTCAGTCGCCGTGCTAGCGAGGGCTCGAACTAAGGAGGTTGAACGCGTGCTACAACGAGTTAACCCCTACTCCAGGTGAGCGGTGTTCCTCGCAAACAGAAGCTGCTTTGCGTGTGTGTGTGTGTGTGTGCTTGTGTAGTTTGCTATTTAATCTTACTCTTCTCGCTTAGTGGCACACAGCACGAAGATGATCGCAAAACTCAGTCGGCGATAGTTCTTTCGGATGGTTCCGTCATCAGCGAGCACGATCTGCCGCCGTTAGTGGTTGCCAGGGCGCAGGAACTGCTTCGTGAAGATCTTTGTGCCAACTACGGTGTCGACCTAGCGGCGGTGTCCGACAGAGTAGTTGGCACAACGTCTTCGCCGTCTCCCACCTCCACGCCACCATCCAAACGACGAAGGTGCTCACTCGCCGACGCTTTGATTCAGCGATCACCTCGTGCGAGCGGATGCCCTGCGTCTAGATTTTCCCCCAACGCGCTCAAACACAAGATCTCCTCTCCCGTGAAATTGTCCAACCTCCTGCGCTTGAACAATGCTCCAAACGTCACCGCAGCGACTTTGGCGAATCCGTCCACTCCAACAGACTCTAACCCACAAGAAATGGCTTCTCTGGCTTCCATTGACAAGGACGGCAGATCTGTGAACGTGATAGCCTCTTCGTCGTGTTGTGAAGAAAGTTGCCTTGCCACTCAGAGTCCAGTGCCGTTATCCTTGAACGTGGAAGTGGAGGAGAGCGCGAGTGACTCAGGTCGAACCTCCACGACCAGCAACTTCCTTCGACACCTCGATAATGTCGCCTCATTAACGCCTTCCAGAGTTCAGGGTTCCTCGCCTGTGCTTGCTGGTAAAATACACGCGAGCACTCCGTCATCAATTCAAAACGAGGCTGCAGTCTTGAACGACACCATGACTTTCTCTATGATGGAGAGGATTACCGAGAATTTGCCGCAGTTGGTGCGTGACCACTCATAAAACGGTGATATTGTCCGTCTCTCTGAATCATGCCTAATAGTTAGGGTTGACAAAATGAATGGGAGTTAACCCGTGGTGGGTTCTCGATTTAGTCAAATGACGCCCGACACCTTTACGATACCGCAACATTTGATTAATTTCACAACGCGAATTTGCCGTCTCCTTCTTTTTTTCAGTTGTCAAGTAGCGTCAGCAAAATCATCGAAAATTCACAGAATTCCATTTCGGCTAGGGTGAGCACACATCGGGAACCGATGGTCTACGAGAATGTCAGCAGTGAGGACATCTTCAGCAGTCAGATCCACGTCGACAATTCTACAGGCGAGGCGAGGTTAGTGAGATTGAACGTGCCTTTTTTTTTGAAATCTCGCTGTCTATCGTTGTCGGATATTGGCCCGAAACTGGGTGATATAGGCGCTTATCCGAACTTCACGGTGGACGCATCGACACCTTCCAGTCGGCCTCCATGGTGACCATCCTGGTGAAGTATTTAATCGGGCATTGTCGGGCTATGGAACTTGCCATGATTAAAAACGGCGGATGTGTTGCTTCCACCTCACACAAATCCCACCGGTTTGCGAGGAGGAAGATCCACGACTTGTATCAGATCGTCGTCCTTTTAATGACAACAAGACCATTGATGGAATCCCTGTTTATTTCAAATCAATCTTCGGGGCCTTGATAATGATTTCACTGAAAAAAAACCACCTTGTTGCTGATTTTTCAAGGCGTATCCCACCACGAAACTTCTAAAGTCACTGTTAAATAATGCGCTACTGCTTTGTTGGGATCGACCTTGGCAGCCAATACGATAGATATCTCATTAAAAATGTGGGTTAGCCAATTAAATCAAGGCTAGAAGCGCGCGGTCGATACGATCAGCGCTTGGTCGGTTTTACACTGCCTCACTTCTCTACACAAACGTAGGGCCGAGGAGACAGGCCAATCTCCGTGTCGCTCGTCTAACGGTCAGGGTGACGCACCTTCAAGAAAACAGCACAACTCAACCACCGGTGAGTTATCCCGTAACCCCTTTCCTTCTTATTGGGCTGGCAATTACGTAATTTCGGTTATGACTACTTGAAAAGGCTGGCAACGAAAGCCTAAAAAGCCGTTAATAAAGTGTCGGCAACCAGCCAATTTCGACGACAAGGAACTACACCACCAATTCACGTTGTTTTTGCGTCATTAGCATCGACAACCACAAAGGAGTGCGGTTTAGTGAGGGCGATTGACGATGGACTACCAGGTTTGATGAATCGTGGTCCGCCATGACAATTCTCAGCCTCACACAAAAGTCGGCAGCTAAAGATGACGACAACCATTAGGCCTCATCTGGTCCAGTATAGTAGCGGTTTCGCGATATTGTAAAGTTGAGGATAGGTTAACAACTGATCTAAGAACGAAGTCGAATACATGGAATTAGCTGAAGGCCATTCCTTGCCTGGGAGAAGTCGAGCTATCTTCCACTTTGTCACTTCAGGTGAGCCATTGTTCAGGGTCGTCGACGTGACAAAAACCGCCCGCCTGTGGACCACTTTCCTGTCGGAGCTGGACACTGCACGGAGCTCGTGTGGTGGTGTCTTCTGGCTCGCTCTGCAACCGCACTGGCGTGTCCTGACCTCTCGATTGGAGTGTCGCGATGTCGGCGGCGGTCTTGTCTGGCACAACGGCTGCGCCGGTCAACGCCGTCATGGTGGCGGCTCTGGGGCTTCTTGCGACGTCTGTCTGCACCTCGAAGGGATCGCCTTGTGTGCTTCTGACCTCCAACCTCGGGTCGTCTTCTGGATCCCTCTCACCACCACCGCCGCAGGTTGATGCTCCTGCTTCTTGTCATTAATTGGAGCCGTGTTCCTCTGAGCGCCTGATCTCTTTTCCATCGTACTAGATTCGGCACGTGTTTTGTCGGACCTGCGACGTTTGCTCGGGCGACCCCGCCTCGGTCTCGTCGTCTGGGACGTCAAGTGGTGGCTTCGTGTTGCTGCTGAGGTGTTGGATGTAGACATCTGTTCGACGACATGTCATTTCGATCCTAGCCTGAGCGGTTGGTTGCTGGACCCAGACAGTGGTTGTCCGCGGCTTGTGGAGGTGGTTGATGCGCCTGGCATAACCGGTGGTCTTCTCTCGGTCGGCTATTCCCTTGGTTAGTTGCTTCCATCGGCTTTTGGCAGCATCGCGTTATCTTGCGTTGCGCTTAATGAAGGAGGAGAACGCATCACGTCTCCTTTTCCACTTACTAGATCCACCACGCCAGCTCTCCGATTGGACGAAACTGCGACTCGCTCAGCCAATAACATCGCCGTCTGCTGCGCACAGCTCCATTGGTTCAAATGCGTCAACAGCCCTCTCCTCCTCCGGCATCCTCGACGCTGCTGCCCAGTGCTTTCTACTCTCGTTGTGTTCGGCTAATTCCTCGTTGGCGCACCCATCGCTTGAAAGGGAGGTGTCAATCTCTGGATTACTCGCCACCTCCGAATGCGATGGTTTTGGTAATTGAAGTCATTTTTAACCGGGCTGGTGCATACGCCGGCCCCTCAACAAGTCCGACCAATCGAATTTGAGTGACAAAATCTACTTAGTATCGTCTGGAAGCTACTGAATCTTTTTATATTAGATTTTGACGCTTCACGTTTTCTCATTCGACTGTCTTTTTAGTCCTAGACTTGGATGTTCTCCATGAATGCCAAACCCGGCTGCAGAAGACGTGCGACGACCTCACCAACTTGGCACACCGCCTCGTCGATTGCCTGTTTAATCTGGGCTCGCCACGCGAAGTGGCCAATGTTAGTTACCCCCTTGTTCCACTACAAGCCAAAGACTGGATTTGGTAGATGGTGGTGTCCTGAACGGCGTGAGTGTCTTGTTGTAGATCCTCTACCAGCGTCTGCGTCTGCCCGTGTATACGAGTTTGGCGGCGGAAATGACGGCCAGCAAACGCGCCCACCGCAGCAAACTTGGAGTCGGTCTGTCCAACCGATTTCGCCAGTTGCCAACGCGAAATGAGATTCTCAGCCAACTGACGTCGCTGCACCCTCTGCCGCGGATCATCATGCAGTACCGCCATCTGCATGAGTTGTCAGTGAAGGTCCTTGGTGGACTCATTCGCTCTTGCGACCCGGCTGCTGATAGACACGAGGTTGGGTCTCTTGTTGTTAATATTGTCATGAATTCACCCTTTTATTGTGTAGCGCTTGCGTCTATACCGTCGAATTTGTTGATGTTTCATCACCAACTGTTGAAACTTGCAGTGTTGCATTAACCTCGTGATCACTTCCAGGTGCCACAGCGGAACAGTCGAGATGAAGTGCGGATCGCTTGTGTCTACAGGACCTGCACTGCCACGGGACGAGTCGTCTCCACGCGCCCCAACTTGCAGGCGGTGCCGAAGGACGTGAAGTTCTCCTGGGACGTCATCGTGAACCGACCGCCGCCGCCTCCGCCAGCATCGACGGAGCACGGCGCTGTGAGGCCACCATCTACCGAGTGGCCACCGTCGATAGCTAGTGTTTTGCAGTCCGTTGCAAGCAAGACCGACCTCGTAAGTGACCCTGTCCACCGTGGTGGAAGGCTGTTGCGTTGTTCGCGTGGGTTACCTATAGTCCCGCTTGCAGGTGCTGCAGCCAAGGTCAGCTTTCAAGGCCGCTGCCGGCGCGATCTTGGTGTCTGCCGACTTTTGCCATCTGGAATTGCGTGTGCTGGCGCATTTGAGTCGGGATGAGTCTCTTCTGCGGCTGTTCACTGCACCTTTGGACAGTGGCGCGCAGGACGTCTTCAAATTGGTGACTTAAATTGACTTCTTTGTTTCGTTGGTGACTCCTCCCTCCCAGCTTTTTCACATCTCCCTCTCTCCCCCTAGCTCGCCGCTCATTGGCTGAAGCGTGAAAGTCCGGAATGCGTAACAGACGAAGAGAGGCAGCGTGCGAAACGCCTCTGCTACGGCCTCATCTATGGTCTGGGAGCTAGCGGCTTTGCCTCACAAACCGGTCTCTCTGTCTCCGACGCCCAAAATCTCATTGACGAATTTATGCACGCATTTCCAGGTCAGTTGGACGCACAAATTCATTGTGCACCAATCAAAGTTGAGAAAAAGCATTTAGAGCCGAGGCTAGCCAATGGGCTGTGTGCGCGGTCCACACGAACTAGTGTGCACGTGATATTCAGTTGTCAACTTGTGCCTTAACTCGGACTAATTTTGCCTTGTGAATGCAGAACAACTTTTCACGTTTGTGCTTAATTAGAAAAAAAATGGCGTAATTTGTGTGCGTTTGCCTTGCGGCAGGTGTTGCCAATTTCATCGACGGCGCCATCCAATCAGCGCACGAGACCGGCGAGGTTCGAACCATCGGTGGTCGAGTGCGTCAGCTGGAACGCCTCAAGGCGAACCCTAGCGTCGCGGATTGCGAGAGCTCCCAGCCAACGTGTCCTCCCAAATGCTTGCCAGCGGAAATTTTGGGTTTTCAAGCTCCGGGGAGCAAATACTCCAACGCCAAGGCATGGGGTCTCACCTTGTTCAATCACTCCACCGCTTTCCGTTGAGCCTTCAAGGCATTTCTTTCTCGTTGCAGGCTGAACGCCAAGTCGTCAACAGCATTGTTCAGGGCAGCGCGGCTGATCTCGTGAAGGTTGCCATGGAGAGGGTTGACGCGGCTGTGCGCCAGGAGCTGCGTCGACCATCGCCGTGTTTTACCGCCTGCAAGCTGGTCCTTCATCTCCACGACGAGCTGATATATGAGGTCACTGAATGCATAAATAAACACTCAAAAAGAACCAAGTTATTTGAAGGTCATTTCATGCGATTGTGATGCGTTTTAGGTGTCGCCTGAGTCGGCTGCGGGTCAGTTCAGTGATCTATTGCGTGCAGCAATGCCTTCCGCCGGAGAACACTTCTCCCTCCGCGTGCCTCTGCCGGTCAAAGTGATGACTGGCACAACGTGGTCAAACCTCCGGCTTGCCGAATGAATCGTCTCTCCTTCTCTCTCTACTTTTACTTTATTTACTATTTTGGGTGCTTTTTTTCTAACTTATATGTCAAATGTGTTTATCTTCTTAGTGTACTTGAACCAGATGCAAATGTTGACAAGTTTCTTTGTATGCGAATGATTTTTTCTATTAAAAAAGACATTCTGGAAGTACTGTGCTCTTAGTTGTCATCGATTGGGACAGAAAGAATAATTTCACCGGTAATGTTGTTGAGTCATCTCAACGAGTATCTGCCTGACGCCTGGGAACCGCTAATTGTTGATGCTTACCGTGCTTTGGCATTTGAGGCAACATTTGTTGATAAAAATTCCATGTCAGTTTATGAGAATTTAAAATTTATGGCTGAATTCAGAAATTAGAATAGTTATGCTGATGCAAAAAATTTCAACGACTGTCATTAATTGAATAAAAGTGTTATGACTTTATGGGTCAAAGAAACAAATTAATCTGCGTGAACGAGTAAGTCTTAATAAAAGCTCGATATATTTTATGACGTCAGCAGTATTGATGTTGATATACGAAGAGTATTAACGTGCTCTGAATCAACGAGTAACCGGAAATTTCATAAAACACTTACATTGTTGATTAACAATGTAAGGACGTTGTCAGTTTATCAGAAGTAGTGTAATGATAACTGTTAGTTCCAAATCAAATAATTGACAACTCGCAACACAGAATTGGTGAATAGGTAATTTGACGTTGAATAGATAATTTTATTGCATAATTGATAAAAAAAATTAGCAAAATACGATATTTTATGAATAGTATGATTGTCTTGATTAAGTTTCCACTATCGTATAACTGAATTCAATGGTACACAATTTCCCAAACCAGGACCAAAAAGGAGATAAAGATGAAGTTTGAAATTTGCTGAACCATGTTGAGCCCACTAAGTGGTATTTGACGCTTTTACACAACTTAGATATCCAAAAAGACAAATTGAAGACCATATACGACGAGCACAACAATGTACCAGGTAGATCAACAAATTTTTTTGTGTAGTGCATGCAATTGTCGTGGTCACCTGAAACAATTCAGATGAACACGTTAACGTAAATATGGCCTAAATGGCAGTGGCTTCAGCCGCAAGGTAAATGGACGTCAATCGATACGATTCACTGCCACCTTTGCAAAAATTGTGTGGCTGAAATTGATGTCGTGTACCTAACAGATAATAAGTAGAACACAACAATTGTATTGTTTTATGATATATTCATGATTTCGGTCGATATGCTCTGATTCCTTGAGAGGTCGCCACTCTTATTAGTCAATCTGCCTGTACCACACATTGTCTATTACATCTTACTGACGCACAGATGCAAAGCACACAGACCAAATGATCGAAACTTTTGAGTAGTATAGCTAAAATGAGTCAGCAAAGTATTGTACTGTTGCGCCCTTTTTGGCTTCATGTGTGTGGTCTTGAATAGAGCTGAAATTAGTTGTACACTGTACACTAATTGCCAGTCAAGTTTGAAGGCAACTACTACTGATTTCCTTTAGATCGTAGGGCATTTTTTGTGAGAAAATTGAAATCACAAGAATCCGATTTGGTATATAGACATCTGGTGATCCCCTAAACAAATTTATTTGTTGTAATTACTAATGAACTATGAAGTCGTAAAAGAAATATCCATTAACCAACAACACGAATGCTATTAATCTCACTAGAACACAAATCAAAATAAAATTTTAAACTCAGAAGGGATCCTTGTCAAAATAACCCGCAGCATTGCAACCACTCCCTAAATTGCTCACTAGATTATGTTAAATAGTATTTCGACAGCATTTATTTGTGAATGTTTATATTCGTCTCATCCCTGCACTGGCTTGAATAACTGAGGTCCCGGATCAACTTATTGAGACGCAAATATGTGGTTACTTAAAATAATTCAAGGTCATAACATTTTATAGGTGCACCATTATTTAGGATTTGCTCATTTTTCAGAATGAATCTTAATGTTATCAACTGTGAAGCTAAACAAAATGTTTAGATTGGTTTGTTTAGGCGGATGAATCTCTTGAAATGAGTTCCCCTGCGGCACAATTGTTTTTCTCTTGTGCTGTTAGTATTTGCGTTAATGCCTCTTTTTCGTTTGGTCTTCGTTGGCTCCGTATTCATCCTCGTTATTCCAATACGAAAATTTATTAATTTTATGCTCTCCGTAAATTTTCTGGAACTCATTGGTTTCTCTGCTCTTCTCCGAAACACTTTTGCACTTTTTTCGGGTTGAAGATATAAAAGATCGTCAATAAACGCAAAGTGTAAACATTTAGAATAGGTTCTGCTGCCTTTTTTGAACTCTTTTTGGTAATTTTAACTTGAACATGAACTGTAACTCTGATTTTATTTTCGTAATTTGATGGTTCCACACTATACTTTGATCTCATATCTCATTACTGCCCATTTCTACTACTTTTTAGAAAGGAAGTCAACCTTGAAAAGTTTACTTTTGTAACGCCGCTTACACATGTGCGGCAGGGTAGCATGGTAATGTTGGATCCCTGTTTCACTCTCTTAGCGCATTATGTGAGTCGGACATTGTCGCTCGACTGAAGTCACAGCTGGGAGATAAACGAGCATTTCTGTGGCAGGCTTCACCTTGTCTGGGCGACTACACTCCTTCGTTCAACAAAGCACCGGGTAGTTTCAAGTGAGAATACGCCGACTTATCACGTCTTTTCCCTCACCTTTCTCTCACCTCCTATTTTTTTTTACCATAATTCCTAGCCCAGTGCTTATCTCCCCCACGCATGTGAAATCGTGTGACGAAGACGACTCAGCTGGAATAATCCAGGTCATGCGTTGGGGCTTGATCGCATCCTTTGTTCCCAATGCAGTGCAACAAGCCTCGTCTTCGAGCAAATTTGCCACTGCCAACGCCCGAGCCGAAGGTATTCTCCAAAGACCTTCCTACAGGGACTCATTTAAACACGGTCGAATGTGTGTTGTGGTCACCCAGGGGTAACCATGAGTGTGGGTGGTTTATTCATGCCTTTAGATTCTACGAGTGGGCAAGACATAAAACCAACAAAAAGCAGCCATATTTTGCTTGCTTGCCTGGCGAATCGAAGCCGCTTGTGCTAATGGCTGGAGTATTTTCAGTCAACAAGGAGCAAACGGTATGTGGTAGACGAGTTGTGATGACTGATTTAGCTTTACTCCTATAGCATCATTACGACTGAAGCCGTCAATGAAATGGCCAGTATACACGACCGCATGCCGGTACGCTGAGAGCACTTCGGTAACGCTGTCTAGGTCATATTCAGTGATCCGGAGGATGTCTTTGACTGGCTCAATTCCACAGGCGACTCAGTTGGTGCTGTGAGATATTTCGTTTTTCGCCTTCGTAAAGTTAATCAGGGGCAGCCCCATTAGACAAGCACTTGTCATCATTTTAGACTCTACGACTCTTGCAAAATTTGGTGTCAAAACTGAAGACCCTTCAACTGCAGATTCATCCAGTTACGCCCTTGATGAATTCCACGGCATTTGATTGTCACCAGTGCGTTGAACCATTGGCAGATTTGAAACCGTAAGTACTTTGATCACGAAGAAATACTCTTTTTCGCGAGTGTGAACGGTTAACATCTTTGTACTTTTGTAGATTGGTAAAGGATCCTCCTCATACTGGAAAAATTGACAAGTTTTTCGTAAAGAAGGTGACCATTAAAAGAGAAAAACCCGAAACCGATGACCCGTCAGACCACCCACCGCCAAAACTGCCATCACTGGAACCCTACCCGACAAATTTGAAGCCTGAAAATCACTGAAAAGTTGTGCTCATTTTCATCTAAAGCATAGCCTGAAAGTTGATATGGGAGATCTGCGTTTGCGGAGATGCGCTGTGTATTTCTAGGTAATCTAATTCCTTGGCGCTCGCAATCTAACCTCGGGCGTGGTTGGTGATTGGCCGTCTTGTTGCTCGCGGTTTGAATTGTTGGATGTGGGTGAGCGTCCTTGGAAGGATGTCTATGTGGAGTTTAAACAACAGTGAGCATTTCGAATCAATACGGTATTGTGTAGACACGCCCTGTCAATTTACTGCACGCCTCACCTTTTGGTATTCGGGATCCATGGGGTTGTAGTTCTTGCCTCTGGCCGATTTCCGAAGTCGAACCGAGGAGTAGATCATGTTCGCGAAGTTCGAATCGGGCACGACCGCCTCCCCGGATAGTTGCCGCACCTCGCCGATCGGTACTCGTCGTCGCCTGAGGCTCGCAAAGCCGGAGATTCGCATGGGCTTTGTGGGTGGCAGGTCGTCTCGACTAACGATGGAATCACGATTCACGTCCTCCGGTGATTGGCTTTTGTGACCTGCAAGTGCACACACACACCGACGTGAGGTACTTTTACTGGGGTGTGCGTTAACCCACTATTTGTCGTTTTTCTAGTGACTTTTTTCCTGCGCGCGAATTAGAGTTACACGACGTGAGGGTGGTGTTTAGTGTGCGAGTTTTTAGTGCATAATTAGCAAACAGGCCACATTCGGTACTAACTCTTGGGTCTGGTTTGCTTGGACGGTGAGGTGCTCTTACTGCGACGGTGTTGGTGCCGACGGAGGGAGCCGCAGTCTAGCAGACTCGCTCTCTTCGTGCGTGAGGATGGTGGTTGTGGTGGACGAGTAGTCTTATCCCTCACTACACTCGGGCTATGCGCCACCAGACATTGGGCAGCAGACGGCAACGTTGGGGAAGGCAGTCCTGTGGGCTCAACTACCAAGTTTTGCACTAAATGTAAACGTTAAATAGGCTTCAGTATCAAACGGGAGGGACTGACCAATCAAAAATCAGCGTCCACCTGTTTGGTCAGTCTTGAGCGAGGTCGCTATCTGAGTTGAGGTGGACACGGTAAATGGCGACTTTTCATAATATGCCTTTGTAGTGCTTCTTGTCGGAGTGTCCTTATATGTGACTCGGTCTAGCAAACTGCACTAAGTTACGTCACGTAGTCCTTTTGTCCAGTCATTTCATTGGAGAACTGACCAATGCACGTGTGTATGCGGGTGTTTGTGGTGTCAAGATATAAGCCGATAAAGCAACGTAATAAGTGCGCGATTATTTGATAATTTAAGGCTTCCGTCAAAATTTGGGGTCCAGTTTGTTGAGCATGTAGTGCGTTTTGACGAAATGCGGTAAAAAGGGCACACGGTTTCGACGTATGACAGTGCATAACGAAAACGAGGTATATTTGTCTAGATGGGGCAGTTCTGAATGAACTATAGTTGTGTTTTGGCTGATATAAGGCTGATTCGATTAAAGTTGGGCGTCGATGCACGGATATCAGCTGCAGCCATATTGAATTACGCAATGAGTTCAGCCAATCATTGACGCACGTTTGGTTTGTTAGCCTATGGAGACGATCTGCAACTCACGTGTTATGGAAGACGCAGGTAATATAAATACTGTGTCTGTAGGGTCTGTGCTGTTGCACCTATCTTGTAACGCACTCAATATCTCCAATCATCGAAGTGCCATCGATCTCGATTTTGATTGGTTCCCAGTTTAGGTGACAAGTCAGCCTACACAGGGAGAAGCACTTAACCTCACTGGAATCCTAGAGGTTCTCTTCAGTCATCTAATGATGTAATCGCTCATTGACAGCTTACGGCTTCGACAATAAACACTGGGCCAGTCATCGGAGTCGAGGTCGGGCATCATTGACTTACTCCAAAGAATTTTTTAAAGAAATAGCTATTGAAATTGTTTACACAGAATAAACCTGCGTGAAAAGATGAATATTTGGCTCGCAACTTAAACTTATTATAAAGCTCAGTGACACCGGATGAGAAAAGCAAAAAAGCGAAGTGTTTAGGGATACTGGAGCGATTTTAGGCAGCGCAACTCAATTCGCTCCACAATAAATGAAGCTACAACTACCGCCTGTCCCCTCTTCCAACAGATTGTCCTCTTAGCCAATGGCAGCACGAGGTCGCGCACAGTGAAGGTCATCCAGGGTCACGTTTTCGTGTAAGAAGACCCGATTGATAGTTCACGCCGAAAGCGCACACAAGTGCAACCACAGAATACATTTGATGGATACTCCCCCAAACATAGCAGCCAATTAAATGAGGTGGCTTGTACTGAAGATCCTACTAATCCTCCCCAAAATACCAGAAGTTTCCAATGTTGGACATCATCATGGACTAGACGAGGCGTTGATACTGACTATGCATGATTAGCCAAAAGCTGATGGCACATCAGATGCCAATATTCCTGATGGACGCTAATCGGATCCCTTGTCAGAGGGCCTCACTAACAAGCAAAATCGATTGTCAGAGGTATGAAACCAAACAAATTCATATATCGATTAGTTGATTCTGGTTGGCTGTCGTGCATAAACGTCGCTCGGGTGAGTTTATCGATTTTTCACTGAAATTCTGCTTTTGCCGATCAGCGCACAAGTGTGAGTTGTACTCAGGACGGCTACAGAATTGTCTAGACGGACACCATCGAACAAGGCTTCAATCGATACTTAAAATCGATTATTTTCGAATTCTCCGTTCACATCTCCCGCGCGCAAGTTAAAGCAGTTTGTTAGAGGCGAAGAACACAAACGAAAGCACCACCGAATTTGTTTTGCAAAATTATTTGTTTTGCACATCAATTTGTTACAAAGCCACAAAATCAAAAATGACCGTAAACTTACACAGTGGCAAATTCTGCAACATTTTGGCATATTGAGCTCGTAATAGACCTACCAAGATACACGAAAGCAGCGTTGGTTACACAACCGCCTGCGAAATTTGGTGTCAAGCGGATTAGGGGATTAAAAAAAGGGCCGGGGGTTAGAAAAATACAGCAAATGAATGAGAAAAGGAAGAGAAGACACCACATTTTGGGGGCATGGTTATATAGATTGGATTTGATGTTAGTGGACCAGAGCACACACTGATAGCAGGTTAGAGGTTGGTACCGGCAGAGTGTTGGCAGTGGAACCGCAGAAGCTACAGCTTACTCTTCAATCGATTACCAGCTTCGTTTTCGGGCACATAACTAACCGGCAGACGACCGCTGTAGTCACGAGCTGTGGCTTTGGCATCTAAAAACAAACGACTTTGAAAATACGCAAGCAGGGGTAAGATTCTGAGACTTACAAGCTCCTTACACGATGTAAGTAGCAGCAAGCGTCTGCAAATTGGATTGAAGATTCTACAACTTACTGAACTGCGACATCAGAAGGAAAGCGACGTCTTCAGAGGCGCCTAGAGCAGCCATGTGCAGCGGTGTTTGTCCCTTAATTTGCAATCAAACCATGGTAAGCTCCAATAACTCGAGAAAGTTACAAGTGCCTGCGTCTTACCCCCTACAAAACAGGAAAACGAACCTAAATTTTACAATGACCGCATAGATATGACTACTTTTTGATTGGTTAACGGCACTTAATCACAGCATGATCATTAAAACAACGCGAATTTGGAAGGCAATGGGACCCGTGTGCAGCTTACGGTGGTGACTTTATAATTTGATCTGTTGTGGAACTTGTGGAACACTTCGCCACGTCGGGATCACCACTAACTATCCAATAAGGATGAAGTCTGCGGAAGAACAGGGAGTTGACCGTTTATTTGAGAGCTTGACGATGTTGTCGTCGTGTGTGGGGTTTGCGCGTGTGTATTTATACCTCAGATGTGTGAGTCATACATGAGCCAACATCGGGACCTAGGTGTGAGGATAATCCAAGATAAATATTCGTGCGAATAAGGGGAGGAAGTTGAGGATTCTGCTTGTTCCGAAAGTGGTATTGACAAGCTGAGTTGGTTTGGTTTTAGAAGCGCTGTTCTTTCGACGATAACTTTCCACGCGAGCTAAACACTTGCTAGCAAATTTGATTAGTCAAGTCTGACCAATGGCCGATTTCTCTTCAAGGTGTCTGGGATTCATTAAATAAGTTTCCTGCACGGTTGGCGGTCCCCTTGTTAGTTATTGTGAGAAAGCGCGGCAGTTTTGGACGTACGTGGTTTTGGATCTCCACGTTGGCGTGGTAGTTGCCGGCGAGGAGTCGCACCATGCCCATGTCGTTGATTTGCGCGGCGAAGTGCAAGGCCGTCTGACCTCAGAAAAACAAAACACAACCACGCCCATTTAACCAATCAGCACACGTGGACTCACACACGCACGCACACACACACACACACAACGTGTAAGTGAAGTGAAGATCAACAACTCACGTTCTGGATGGGTTGATTGAGCGAGAGAGAGAAAAAAGAAGTAAAAGCAGTACAATGAACCAGCGAAGATGGGTTATCCAACAGAGTAGAATTACAGTAAACAGTCAGAGACTTACTCCGGTGATGTAGTCCTAAAGAGTGTGCAAAATAAAGACGTTAATGTCAAGTGAATGTGACAATAAAACCGTTGTTCCCATAATCCAAGGCCCCCCGCAGTTACGAGAGACAGAGATAGAGGACTCCCAGTGGTTTGAAGCAGAAAAAACCGGGGGAACACACACTCACCCGCCAGTTGGCAAGCTCGGGGTGTGCTGAAAGGAGTTTGGAAATTTCGGCAAAGTCGCCTTTTATCACAGCGGTACGCCAGATTCGTTCATTCTCTGAAATCTAAGCCACGACAGGAATAAGTTAGCGTCTGAGATTTTGTTTAAAGCATGACGTTTAATGCCAACGAAAACGCACCTCGTAGCCATCGCTGGTAAGCTATAAGTGAACAAAAAGACATCGAGATTCACAAAATTCAACTTTCTACCACATTCCAACTGAGTTTTCACTGGGTTCAAAGTATCACACAAACACACACACACAAGTAGTTTTATCAATAAATTGCCGAGCGCAAGGAGTTTCGCTCTGCGGTGAATTAACGCGCTGATTTAAATAGGTTGGTCGCTATCCATATGACAATGATTTAACCTCAACAGATGGCGCTAGATAAAACAAACCTACGGTTTGATGGGAAAAACAAACGCTAAGTTAGCGGATTTTGAAGACAGCTACGCAGAGGTTTCCGCAGAAATCGGTAGAAACCAGGGCTAATTTATACGTGTACAAAGTTATACTGGACACACACTGGCCTGACCGACAATAAGAAAGAACAGAAACAGTCAATCTATTCAACCGTTAGGACATTTTTGCTATTTAAATAAATGAAAAGAGCCATCAATTCCTTTCAACAAAAAGTAGAGGGCGATGGTGATCAGCTCGCAAACAGTTTAATTAGGTAATCGCCCTCAAAGTACATTTAGCACAGCGACTTTCTTCGCTCCGACTTAAGCGGATGTCTTGTGACACACAAAAAACACCGATTTTCGTTTGACCCAATAAAAAGATTGCGTGCCACCATCTCCTTTCTTGAGTATTTTGTGGCCAATATTGCTATAGCAAAGCTACAACATGCAAAAGGAAGTATATTCTATGAGCTATGTAAGTATAATGACTTACGCGAGCTGATTGAACATCTAGCCAATTGCTGTTACGCAGTGCAGCAGACTTCCGAAGTGTAACGTTTCCCGATGTTAATGGGGAGGCTTGTGGTGAGGACGACATGGCAACTTATCTATAAGGTTAGAAACAAGTAACAAAAAAAATTTAGCGGCAATTCAAGATGCATCAGAAATTGGCACACCTCAGCGGATCCAAAACGAGAGCAATATGAGATTTTAAAAAAACAACTAGGAAGTGTGCGATGAGGTTTGAAAAAATATCAGTTGAGCGACAATTCAGTCATTCATATTGGGAGAACAATGTTTTGCTATGTAACGAGAATTTTTTTGTTAAATTCGTAAAGTTTTGCAGAACGTTATGTGCATCACGAACTCACCCTTGCTTAAAATGAAGTCCTTTATAAAAATGAGAATTCCCCAAATTGTGCATACATATGTGGTTTTGGGTTATATTAAAACAGAGATAACAAATACGAGTTTGCAAAAGAAATGTGTTTGAAAAGGAATATTAAGAGAAAATAGCAGCAGCAAATGTGAAAATAAAAATTTTGTCGCAATAATGAATTAATGTCTTAAATATGGGATAAAGAAATGAGAATCTAGCATTATGGTACGAAATTAGTCGTTGCATACCGAGAGTGTTAAGTGAAGGATTGTCATAATAATAACCTAGAATGCGCAGAAATAGCGGCATGAGTGACATAAACGGGCTGCATTTGCATTGTAGCCCAACCCAAAAAGACTTCACATTTAATATTACAGGTAAAATGGATTTTACGTAGTTGAAAAAAACAAGTTATTGATTACACAAGTGACCAAAAGAAATAATAAATAACAAAGTAGACAAAACAAAATAGAACATGTACGTATTGCAGGTATGTTGACCCGGAACAGTGATGCAGTTCAGCCAGAACACCCAAGGGCTGATGAAAAGATGTCGAATTAACCGCTTGAAAAAGTAGACGCCAATGTTTGTAAATTAAAGATTAAAAACATAAAAGTTATTTGGGTACTTCTGTTAATTAACTTCATGTAGACTAAAGGTCTTCATATAGCTTGCAAAACAGAATAAAATGCAAATCAAAACTCTAATTCGTTGCCGATGGAAAATGATCAAAATAAATGGCCAGGAAATTCGTGCATGTAGAGGATTTAATCCATATTTTCTGAAGTGCCTTGACTGTTTTGATCATTATAGACCTCAATAACTTTTACATTGCCATTGGATTGTCAATGAAAGGCGAATAAGTTGGAACATTATATTTACGATTATAAGGATGTTAGTATTATCCCAATGCATTCTTCAACCTTTGAATTATATTAGGTCCAGCACAGTGTCTTGCCGTCAAATTAAACAAAGAAAAATCTGCATAGACTTTTTGGCAACACTGTAAGTCTTCTACTGCGAAGAAGGCTAAATTAAAGTTACCTTCCCTCTGTCCAACGGTAATTTTTGTATCCTTATAGTTGACTTCCTGACGCGTGATACTTGGGTAAAAGGAACCCACTGCTTGACAAAATACTGCTTACAAAAGCAAAGAGGCTAAGGTTAATTTTAAACTCCTAAAATGGTAGTTGACGCCAGAGATGTGATTTGAGGAAGACGGGGTCGAGAGAAGACAGTGTTACTCTAATATTGTGCAGTCTAAAATATTGTGGTTCAATTAGTCGAACATCAGTTAATTTGACATCGATAAAGACAAACAAATTGCTAAAAGACTTTTCGCCTAGAAAAAACTCAGGTCTTCCAGAGCAATACAATATGGTATGTTGTGTAAATATATTGTATTTTATTCGAAATCACGCAAAATTACACGTAAGTAACTTGCAGAGACTGATAGTGGAACAGTATATTAACAGAAAAGCAGTTTTTTGCACTGGTAATTTTAACAAACGCAACCAATGTGTGTGCCATCTCCAGTCAAAATGCTCATTCATGACCACATTATACAGCTCTTATATAAGATTAAATGCAATGAAGCCTCTTTATTGGTAAAACTGATGATTAATTGTGTTCCTATGAACTTCTGCACGTCTTTAAATTACATGAATTCACGAACCGTGTTAGCGGTTAAGACGTCGTCATCTCTTCACCTGCGTGATTAAATTCTACTATAGAGTGTCTACTAATAGCGATGCTATCGTTGTGTTCGATGTCAGGAATCGGAAATAGCCCCACGTCGTTGGACTAAATTTCGGTTAACCTAATCAAAGTGATGTTCATTGCACCATCTCCTATCATGTAAGGATGGTTCTTTTATCGTTATATACCCACCCTGAAAAGCCTTACCCACTGTTAGTTCACTAAAACTCTAAACATACGTCAAAATTGTTGCTTTTTTAATGTTCAATTTTATTTTTTTACCAAAGCTATACAGAGTTCTCAGTGAAAAACTAATTATTCTTATGTATTTTGTTTCTAGGTTACACAATTTCTAGTCAGGAATCCTTTCTTTTGCGTACACAATTTATGTGACACCTTTAACCAAATATTCTCAATTAACCACCGGTTGCGTTTCTGAAATTTTGGTCATTTTGTGTTCAACTGTTTGCGACAAAATTGTTACAACAGTTATACTGTAAATGGATGAACGAGATAAGCCAAATGTGAATAAATTAAAAAAATGTCGGTACTAAAACACTGATTCCTCTGACCTTGACAGTGTATGACCTTGTGATGCCAGAAGGTCAAGTTACTTTCTGTCACTAAAATGTGCTAAAGACTTCTAGTTTAGTTTCAACATTGTTTTATTAAGCTGTGTTGTTGATTGGTTCGTTGTTAATAAAGAGAACAAGTAGAAACATTTTGCATGACTCTTACATCAGTCAGTACCCTTAATCTCAATGTGTATCTTTGTCTAGTTTATGGATATTTAGGCTGACTTGCTACTTATGTCTCCCACAGAGTATTTCAGTAGTAGTTTCCAAACTAACCAGGTTATTTTAAATTGATTAGATTAAGCAGAACCTGTCAATGCAAGTAAACGAAAACAACCTGCCAGCAACAGTAAACAAGATGAATCATCGACTGCAGCAATCGGCTTCAAGAATTACGCGGTTTTCAAACAGCTGATCCAACTCGCGTCTAATTGGCTAAACACACCTTGTTTTAAATGCATCTGGTGGCGCAAAGTAATGCAAATGAGGTGCTAAAAAGAACCCAGATTATAGATTCCTACATTAAATCCTGTCGAAGAACAAGCTGAGTGATTATTGTCTCAGTGGCAAGCAGTGTGGAAATTCTGTAAATTTCGCGGGCTACTTGTGCAGCCCGGACGGTTTAAATTTTAAAGTGCGCTAGATAATTTAAGCAAAAAAGCGGGTTGCAACCTGGTTGCTATCAAAGTTTTTAAATTATCAAGGAGCTGTGAAAATTCCATTGTTTTATAAAATGATTTCTATCTGACTTGGGCTTAATGAATTGCATTTAGCCAAGATGGAGTAGATTAACCAATCAGAGTAAGGATGAGTCAACTGATCAGGTCAAGGTCATTCGTTTTAGGAGTCCAGAAATTAGGCCCATGGCGAAATTCGGAGGACCAGAGCTAATAAAGACACGTTTATTCTTCGTAATGGGATGGCCAGGAATCGCGCCTACATATATAAAGGATTGACATTTGTACGACTGAATACTAGTCCAGCTTCGAAGATACGCACGCAGATTGGGCCACAAATATCGATTTCCTTGTTCACAGTGCTTGCAAGCCCTCAGCCAATGAGAACCTCGTACTTTGTGGATTTTGTCTCTCATGTCTAGGTTTTTATTCTTCATCTTGAGTTGTGCCGGTCTTTTGTGAGCTCATCGATATTAACTGGGATTTTGCGTGAATTCATTCAAAATTTTGGCTGTTATTCCTTTGACATGGTAACGGTCTACAATACAAATAAATTAACATGGTTTAGACCCAACAGGCAGATAATAAAAATGTTCGTTTGGAAACCTTTCGCTGAAAGTTCACAGAATGGATTTATCATTCGAATCTACAAAATGACTGTTCCTTAGAAATAAGTTGTACGTAAAATTCAATGATTTATAGAAAGGGCTTGAAAGTTGTTGGTCACTTCGAAGTTAAACACACGAGGCCACCTTGAAATGCATGTTATTTTCTGCTCGTGGTTTAATGAAGATGTCAAGGTGAAATTGCGTATTCAAGGGCTGCAAATCAGAGTTGATGTCGGGAGCTTTTCCGGATTGTAGAAAATTAATTTATAATCCCCAAGTTGTACAGGATGCATTTTACTGCAACAACTGTTGACGTGATGTGGCTATCAGATGGGATCGTGGTAAAAATCTTGAAGGAATGCGATTTCCCTGAGATAATATTTGAAATGAATGCGTTTAAAGATGGCAGACGCTGGCCCCAATGCAACCTTAAACTTGCCTCAACAGGTTCTCAATAAATAATTGGCATAGCAGACATCTTTCTCGCTGTTCATTGGCTCACGCAGGCACCCTATTATAAACGCCCACACACACACGCACACACGCACCAATCCCCACGACTCTCACGTAAAAGGCGCGCTTTTCATAAGAGAAATTTTGGTTGTCTGAACATACGCGACTAAGCTAGCCCTGCCTCACACATAACCCCTTAAAAATGGCAGAGATATTTAAAAATATGCCGGGCACAACCTAACATCTCACCCCTAGCTAGTCACTACCACTGAGCTGTCGAAAATTCACAATTGTCGCTCAACAAGCTAACTAGACCAGTAAAACAACAACATCAACAACCAATGAAGGCCCGGGTTTCTAACACTCTTAGAGCTACACCCGCGTCTCTTCAGCTCATAAATGTGAAGCAAAAAAAATAATGTGCTCCTGTGGGTCATTAGAGTGCACTCACCCTCTGGGGTCACAACATGCGCTAGCTTGATTTGAAGGTGTCTCCACAATTCCATTCACTGCCTCGCAGAATGGACCTGATCACTCTAACCGTCCCGTTAACGTGCCTTGCGATTGGTCTGTGCGTCACTTCGTTGGTATTGCCCAAGTGGAGTTGCGGCGGATTTTTCACAACATGCGTTTTCACCCTCCTGCACATCATTGTCTTGGGCCTCATCATTGGTGGTTTGGGCTTGCTTACTCTCATCTTCATAATCGACATCTGCGGGGCGTGCCGCACAAAATGGGTGCCTGGACCGCTGTGCACCTCCTACAAGATGATCCTAACAACACTCGCAGCTGGATGCCTTCTGAGTGGAAACCTGCTCTACGCGGTGTTCTACGTGAAGTCTTGGTCGTTCATTCTTTCCTACTCTGGTGCCGTCATCGCGGTTCACGTGGTTGTGATCTCGTTCTTTGGGTCCCGTTGCTGCCATAACAACTAGACATCATGACCGTAAATCTTGACATTCACCTAGATGAATGCGTCATATTAATAGACAGTATCCTTAGCCACTGTCTTTTTGCGTTATTATTACTTGGATATCAAGTTTTGCCTAACTAGTATTGTAGTTTAATTTTTAAAATTGGTTCTTTTAGCCATCAGTCTGGAAACTGTTGCAAAAAGAGAAAATGGTATTGGTATTACACCCTAATTTTTTAAAACAGTGAATGATGAATAGGTTGGCACTCTTGCTTACACATAAAACCAAGTGCCGAACCTCAGACAATCTCGGAAATGCAGACTTCAAGGACAGCGTTCTTTTTGATCCTACCGAGGGTGTTTCGGAATTTCGGAGCACCCAGTTGCAAAATTCAACCGCGTTTCGGCTTTTAAAGGTGAAATTGCATTGTATTTTGGCGTGCCAGACACAAGAAATTACAAACACCACTTCATCCATCTGGGTAATTAAAAGAGTCTGGAAACGCTGATTTCAATGGCTCTAGAAAAGCCGTAAAATGGCAAAAAGCAAATAAAACTTTTTTTGTTTAAATTAAGGCCACTAGAGTTCGAAGTTTCCACGCACACACACACAGAGAGAAGAATTCAGCGCGGCTCAGTGCGTGATCGATTTGTTATTGATTTTTTTCCCGCCGGGGTGCGCGACATGCGATCCATGTGCCGTGCACATCGCAGACAAGGACAGTTAAATTTGCATCATTGCTTTTAATGCAACGGCAGCGCCAACGTCAAGTCTATGCGGGTTGGCGTCGAGAAAGTTGACGGTGATTCTGGTGGTCAGCCCAGTGATTGCGACTCACTGGTGCCAGTCCACACACTGTGCCTGGGGGATGGGGGGTGGAAGTGAGCGTTTTAATTTAACCACGCACACACTCGGAGACTGATTAAAATGCTGGTCTGAGACAGCGATGTTGTCGATGATGACGCAACCACTGCCACTGGCTTCGGTAATTTACTGGTAAAAGTGAAAGCTCCTTGTTGCAGATTGGAAACCTGTTTTTTACCCTTCAGATTAATCATAGAAAGAGAGCAATAAACGAGCAATTACTTTTGCTGATCTGTAAAGTGATACGTGCGTGAATCAGCATCGACATTGTCGTGAAATCGGATCCCAGAATGCGCCATGAAGTGATTGTGTGAAACCAAGCAGGGCACAATAGGGGCCATAGGCCATGGGTCTCCAAACTAGTTTCTTTCGTAAAAATATGCATTTAGTAATAGCATGGATTAAAATCACGAGTTCTATAAAATATTTTGATATTCTGTAACTCATTGGAGAAGATGTGCTTGACTTCAGTTGAAATCTCTATTGAAACGTCTTCGCTTGTAAACTAACGCGTTTTCTATTGGTGCAAATTTACACACAAGACAATTTTTTCAAATATGCCTTGTTTTCGTAACTAAAACAAATATGTTAGCTTAATGGTGTATGCAATTTTGATGGGCAATCACTACGAACTCCATTAAACTGCTTTTGAAGTAAACGCGATTGGCGCTATGCTTCCATTACACGTAAATATATTTCGAATTTGAAGAACGACCAAACAGTGAACAAAGTTAGCCACAAAATCAACGAATTTTAGGAGTGCAGGAAGGTGAGAAGAGCTGTCACGTTTCTGAATCACTTGAAGCTGTCAGGTTTGAGATCGGGAATCAACTTAATCTGTCGTCACTCAGACTCTGTCGTGTTCACACACACACACACACACACACGCAACCTCTTCAATCACAGTAGCCGTAGAAATTGCTACTTGTACTCAGATCAAAATCTATTGGTGTGCACACACACTCACCCCTACACGCACACACGTTATTGTGAAATCACCAGCCAATAGGAGCGCAAGCAGGAGAATGAGTCGCACCCGTCACAAGAGTGATCACATTATCGAATGCACGACCTCACCATCCTAACGATTCCGCTGAGCTGCGGGGCGATCGGCCTCTGCATTACCTCCCTGGTGTTGCCGTACTGGAGTTGTGGGGGTTTCTTCACAACCTGCGTCTTTACCCTCATCCATCTAGTGGTGATGGTTCTGCTGTTGGTCGGCTTGGCCATCTTCTGTGTGGTTTTCCTCACAGATCTCTGCAAGGCGTGTCGCAGTGCGTGGATTCCCGGGCCAGTTTGCAACACCTGCAAGATCATCTTCGCGGCCATTGGTGCAGGCTGCCTCCTGGCTGCCAATCTGCTTTACGCTGTGATGTACGTCAAGTCGTGGTCTTTTATCATGTCCTTTGCGGGGTCCCTAGTGGCGGTGCACGTTGTTCTAATTTCCCTCTTCACCAGTCGTTGTTTACAAGCGCATTAAAAGCAATTTTCGTGCTGTTTGCCGCAATTCGCGCCGTGTACAAACTTAATTTTAATATATTTATATCTATCCACATGCGCTTTTACTTGTTTTTCACAACTAAAATTGCAAATACTAAACAAACAAATCACATGCCTTTTCCAGACAGACCAGTCAGCATTTTTAAATTTTTCATGCTCACGGGAAACCGAAATATCGCTTAGGACCTCAAAGTCAGCTGAAATACGCAGCATTTTTACTGTTTTACCAATAAATTGATAAAATGAATAAGATTTGGTGCATTTTGTAGCTTCAAGTAAAGGAAACTTCGAAAAATTTATCAGTGGCATTAATGAACCCCGCTTTTGAAAGCTTGCAATCCAGGAAGAATTTAAAAATGAGCTTACGGATTTGATTTTGATTTCAAAAACATTCGCAGTTAAAACGTATGAACTTGATGTGATGGTTTCCCCCTGCAAGCACAGTCGCAGCTGAACAGAAAATCGATGCGATGCTTGTGGTTTGCTTGCTTATCGATCGATAAACGCACGCAATTTTTCAGAGGCAAACACAGAAACTTTACCGCATAAAGTGATGTGCTTGCATTTTAATTAATTCAAGTAACTTTTTCACTTATTAATCTCGACTATTAGACATAAACAAATTTAAAATGAGTATGTTTTAAAGGCCGAAATTAGAACAATCCCGGACTTCGAACAATAACTTTGAATAAGCGTAAATCCTTGACTTCTTGAATTTACCTAAATTATTATTTCCTCACTTTAACCATAGTAAGTGGATCTCTAAAAAAAGAATTTGTTATTTATTTAATTCCTGTCATTGTGAGAAAGCTGTCTCACTCATAAATCACCCAACTGCGTATGTCGCTAAATCACACGATGCACACGACACCCCTTGTTTAAATGCATAAAGTCTTTCGATCTCTTGCACTAGACAGGAAATTTAAAATGTTTTTACAAATAAACACAAATTGAAAAGCAATTTAATGTCTTAAACTAAGGAATTTCCTTGATTGAAGCAGTCAAATATATTTAAATGAGAATGAATAATTTTTAAAATCCGACATATTTGAGACCTGGTATTTAGTACGTCAGATGAATCGAGCGTCATTCCAATTGGTCAGATGCATTGGTTGCAAAATAATGGACCCGTATCCCATTGGTTGGGTTTGCGTTTGACCTTGGATTAGTATGTGATTGTCGCTTATAATGGGTGAAATCTGCATGAGACGTTCGTTCACGCTTTACTGGTTCTCGCTGTTTACGCACACGCTCGTCACACACCCTTGTAGTGGCTTGCCAGTTAAAAAAACTTGCTTTCACTTGTTTCCTGAAAGATGATTGGCTACTGTTACTCCTCCTAATCTTGCATTGGTTCTAGTTAATTCAGCCAATCTACTTTAGCCACGATTCTGCCTCAAATGCACACAAACTAACTCGACAATGACACAAGTCGGCTGAGGTGATTTTTCGCGATCCATTCTTCCATGAGATGTAAAGTAGCCAGCCAATTATACAACGAACATAGTTAGTAATCCGATTGCGTCAGAAGGGAATGATCATAAAGTGATTTTAGTAACTCGACTACTCATTAACTGTAAGTAGCAATGCAAATAATTTTTAAGCAATTGCAATGTTTTTATAGTTCACTGAAGGGGGTCGCAATCAGACGGCAAATGCATCAAAAATTTAAACGTGTGAATCGCGATTTTTAAATATAGATCTGAGCTGCTCAGTAGTTTCTTTGAATTCGGTTTAATTTCAGGCGCGTAAAACAATGCAACTTTGAATACCAAATTTATGGCTATGCGACCAGCCCCAGGGGGCCAATAAGAAAGTCCCAAGTGGAGACGTTTTGGTACACTCAGGATATTTCAGCCAATAGAATGGCAGTTGGAATGGTGTTTTGTGTGATACGACTTTATGAGACATTTATGAGCAGTGGCCACACACTGGTCATTATTTTTGGGCATTCATTGCCGATGTATTCTAGAAATACATTTTATCACTGAATTTGATCGTTGTTTTATTTACTTGAAGGGAATGGCGGTCGTTTACAAATTCAAATTCAACGAATTGTGTAAAGAGGATTTTGAATAACTTCGCATTAGTTGGCTCAGTGAGGCAGTTGAACTGGAAAAATTGAGTCTGAGGGAATGTATTCTTGTGTCAGCGTTGCTACGCCCTCCAAAGCTATGCACAATCCACGACTTTGTTTAAATAACTGTATATTTCAAAACTTAATATAAAGGATTCAACTACTGAAGCCAAAATAAGTAGACGGTCTGATCAGCTAAGACAGCCAGCTTGGAGAATCACAATTTCGTGGACAAGAATTCCAGCTCATTTAATTTTAGCCATTATAATTTGGTAAAGTTTCGACAAAAAATTACCGACGATTTAATCTTTCGAGGTTAAATGTTTAATTCATTAAATAAAATATCCCCAAGTAATTATTAGCAGCTTACGAAATGTCTGAGACCATGGTAGCTCATTTGTTTTAATTGAAAGGAACGTGGACACGTTTTTGACCCTACATTAATCAATTTTTTCAACAAATTAATTTTTATTTACTTGATAAAGAGAAATTCAGCACTTGCATTTTTCCTGTCAACCAAAATTTTATGGTACGGTTGTTTTGTTAACAAATTAAAATTAACGTAGCAAGCATGGACAAATTTGGCAACCGAATAAGTCTCCTAAAAATTAGAAAAAAACAGCTCAGGATGTAAAGGTCATTTCCTATTTTCTGCCAAATTCGCATCAATTTAGTTTGTTTAAAATATATTGATTTACTGGCGGGAGGTCGGAATGTGGTGAAGGAGTTCTCCTAATAACTAGCTCTCGAAGAAATTGCCCTACAAAATGGATTATTTTATTCTGGAGTCCGGGGTAAAAATCAATATTATCGCCTATAATTTGACTCGATCATGTCTAGACTGTAGTTTGTTTAAAATATATCAAATTACTGGCGGGAAGTTGAGATGTCGTGAGAGTTCTTTTCGTAACTCGCTCACAAAGAAATTGTTCGGGAAAAATCAATTATTGGCGCCTATAATTTAATTTAAACATCCCTAGACTGTAGTCCCTTGTCCAGTCCGTGCTAATTTTAAACATTGTCAAATAATGCGCGCACAAAAACATAAGGGCGGCCATATTTTGTTCCTACGATGCTAATTTTGGCTGCATCGCTAATACTGGCAATGGTTAATGTTTAATGTTGCCAAGTCACGTTATTGCATAGTGACTTTTTTTAAATAATTGTTGAAATAGATTCATTTAAATTCATGTATTCAGCTAACACCTCTGCAATTAAGGCGATAGATATAAATGAAACGAAAACCCAGCAAATTGCACTGCAAAATAAGCGAAAATTTGATTGGTCTGTTTTATTGTTTGGGGCAACTTCTAAGTGTAGGAGAAAAGGTCTCGTGCGGCATTTAAGCATCTACGATACCATCGTTGTGTTGCATGCAGAAACTAGATTTCGCGATATGCGCGCCATTAATGTCGATATCTATAACTTCGGGGCTAATGGACCAATCAAAAGCACGCAGGCCTATTTTTTGGTGTAGTGTGCAACCAATTCGAATATTGCCCTTTTGTGCGTGTTTGTGCTGTCTGGCAAAATGCAAAATTTCTTTTTTCCTAATGACGATAGTCAATGAATGAACTACTACTATCCAGACAACATGCAAGATTATTTGCTTTTTGGTTGGAAAATTTTAAATTTCCACTCGTTTTTTATTGGTTAAGGGCAAAGGAGCTCACTGAATGAATGAATTACTAAATAGTAATGCCCATCATCAATCTCTGTCGAAACAATTTACACTTTTTCTCTGTTTTGTGTAAAAGTAGTTTTAACTGAATCGAATCTACAAGCAAATGTCTGCAGCAGTTCTGCTAATACTTCTAAGTGCGTAGTTCACGTTAACAATTAGCAAAATTCAAAAGATTTAACAAAAGTAACCCAAGTCATCCCATGGACTCGTTTTAATCAGGTAAAATTTAGACGGGGCATTCAAGATTAATTGCGAACTGTCACAGAAACACAGCCACAATCTGTTAGAGGATTTGCAGAGCCTGGCTTTCTCTCACAAAAAATTAAAATTATCTACACAAATTGGGGAGGTTTTTTGCAAAAAGCTTTGAGAGCAGGCGTGTTATTTAAATTTTTTATACTGTCTAGAGGAAGACAACACAGGTGAAATAATGAGCTAAATGGGCAGAAGGCTAAAGCAAATACTTCGATGAATTACATCCCCTTGTCGCAAAGTTGTGTGCAATCGAGATTACTCTGACACTTACTGCACTACAGAAGGCTTCTTCTGATTGGTTGGTTTGTCGAAGATCGAAAAATCGCTGATTACATCACATCGATAAATTCACTGTTGCTTCAAATTGAGGCTTTTCCACTGGAAATTATGGTTTTGAGATTAATTTAGTAACTAAAACAGCATACAATAGGCGTGTATTTTAATTTTATACAAATTATGCATGTCGTTTACTTGTAAATAGACACGGTAAATGGCTGAGTGGTTTATACACTTGTGAAGACGCCGCCACAATTCAGACACCATACCGTTACATCGTGTTTATTTTTCTCCGCCGCTGACAACAACCTTTAGGTATTAGAAAAAAACATTTTTACGACTTGAAAACATTTTTGAGAGTTAAAATTTGCAAATTTAATGCCTCAGCTCCCAAATGTACTCAGAAACAGCTAGGCAGTGGGCGGGTGCTGTACGTTAAGTGGATTAATTTACGAAAAGTATTTAATTTATGGCAATAAAAAGGTGCTCTAAAGCGAATTCACATTTGTGGTGTCAGTCGACACCCTTGTTTTGGGCATATGGGGTTTGTACACTGAAATTTGCTTGGTTAAATGTGACTTAATCTTAAGAATCTCAACGAAGCTGCCCATTTTTAACTTCTGAACTGCCATTTAGGGCGGTTTAACTTAACTGGAAATTAAAAAACGCGCCCATTTCAAATTCCATCCTTTACGAAGCATCGTTCATAATAAATGGTAATTTGAAATTTTTGACCAATCAAAATCGCGTAAATGCTAACCAATAACCAATAATTTGAGGCATTACTTCACGAAAGCAAATCTAAACTATTTAGGATGTTGCGAAATGATATGGTAATGGTTTGGTTAATTGGGATAATCCACACCAATCATCACTGTCTAGACGACTCTAGACTTCACCACTTCAACCAGTCTGAGTGTGTGTGCGTCGATGACCTTGAAAGCACGCAGCCATATTGGGGCCTTAATATCTGGAGTTCCCTGAGATCCCCTAGCCCCTTCAGTGCTTTTATGCCGCGTTCTCTCTGCCAACATCATCTAACCAATCACGGAACGAGACGTCCCACAATGCAGAGATTGATTGGATGGTTAAAATGTGAAGGAGTTAGGTGATACAACCGAATTTGCGATTTAATCTGGCTTGCTAAAATTAGATACGATGAGGGTGATTACAGTATTGTGTAGGCCAATAACCGTTCCATTATAATTGTAGCAAAAGCTGTGTGAGTCAACTGACCAATGGGCGACGCGTTATCCCTAACCTATAAATTTTACCTCTGTCAGTGCTTAAAAGGGGGCTTAGCTTCCACGTACAACTGCAGACCATCTAAGTGGGGACAGAGCATTACCAGAGGGTAGGTACTAAGCAATGCAAAAGACTGGCATGGTACTGGGTGCCTACAACAGCCGGAACCACATCTTCCATGGAAGTCACCAACGTCGTCGTAGTCGTTCCACCACCCCCACCACAGCCTCCACCATCACCACTACCACCACAACCACTACCGTCACTTCAAAACCGTCTGTTTGTCTCCTCCTACTAAGTGTCATGCTCCTGACTGCCTGTCAGTTTCAGGGCGTCAGTGGTATGAGCAAGTTCAAGAATCGCTACGCCCTGTTCCCGATTTCTTCGTACTTGGACTACTTCGAGAGAGGGGATCCAGTCAAGGGGGACACAGAGGAGGAGGCGGTGGTGCAGAAGCGACAACCCGCGTTCGCGGACTGGGAATTTTCGGACAATCTAGGCATGGCAGATGATAAGTCACACTACGGTGACATCAACGATGCTGTACTGGCCTCGCAAAAGACTTCGCTGACGCAACAGGAGATTCAGAGGTATCTGGCCCAAATGAAGGCGTACTATCTCAAAAATGGCATGCCACGGTAAGACGAAAGGCGTCATTAATTAGGTACTTAAACATTCTGTCTAAAATGGAAGTTATTTTCACGAAAAATTATGATTCGCGGATGGAGCATGGAAATTCTGGAAATATTTTTCAAAGTCTGTGTGCAAAAACAAGTTTACCTTTTTCTCTAAAACTGCCTAAACAAGATTTTTTTGAAAAATAAGCGCTTATTCAAAATTGTGAAGAATTTATAAAAGTACTGGCCTCTCACAAACACCTAGCTAAGCTCTGGTTTAAAAATGAGGATGACTGTAACGACTTTGAGGATTATTTTTGGGTTTTAAAGTCAGACGTCATAAACGGAGGCTAAAAAATGGGTACTTATGGAAACACTGCTAAATTCCAAAAATACGTGCAGAGATATAGGCGTTTTTCCTAGTTGGTTAGTTCAGAAAACGGAAGTGATTTTGGCGTGGTTAAGAAAATCGGAAATTTTTGTAAAACAAGTTTGTTTATTTAATACATTTTTTACTGGAAAGTTCACAGCGAAATTGGTGTCAGAATCTGCGACTGTGTTCTCATAAGCCAATGGCAATGCAGTATTTGTGTAATCACGTCTCGTGTGGTAAAACGTTGATATATATTTTCTCTGAATGCATGCTTTTTTTCAACAAAGGCGTTAATATTCAGCTTAAAATATCTCCTTGCTTGTTGCCATCTAAGCACTAATAATTGAATGTAATTGTAAAAAAAATTCTAACAGCAACGTTGATTCTGCACAAACACGTCACTAATTGTGTTTGTCGCTGATTGGTGGAATGTGTGGAGAGTGTTGGAATAAGTTTAGTCTCGAAGTTAAAGCTTCTGGTCCACCATTTGGCAATCGGTACAGATTTTTTATTTTATTTCTCTCAGATTTTTGCAGCAAATGCAAATTATGGTAAATTTAAGTAAGTTTAAACTAGGAGAAAATGTCGAGTCTTGTAGGGATTTTTGGTGTCACCAAATACGTGAAGGGTTAAGACGGGAAAATATTTGTGGGGTAAGCAAATTATTGTGAACTTTCAGTAAAAGACTGCGGTGAACGACCCTCACCTCAGTTTATTAGTCTTCAACCATGCAACTTTCGCCAGTAAAACGCTTTTTGTGTGCATTCAGTTCATTACGCGCGCGGCACGGCCAGTCAATCTAAATTAGCGCTTTCAACAAATTAGCAGCTTCCTCCTGACTACGTCCCAATCAGTTTTAATTTTAAGTCCAGCACCTGTCACACGAATTTGCATGTAAAACCCAACAAACGGGCGTTAATTAAGTTCAATTTCCTCTTTCTGTAATGGCGAAATAAATGACAAACCGCCAGATGTTTTCCTAATAAAGGAAATTTGTTTAAAGGAGCAAATTTTTTGGCAGGAAGTTAAATTTTGTCCCACCTGTCAGTTAGAAATGCAGCCCTTTAATTTCAAATTAAATTTACAAATAAATTTAGCAATCAATACTCGTTTTTCTCAGGTGAGCATCATTGTGTGATTTGATTTATTGATCGATCGATTGATTTTTTCTTGTAGATTTGGCTGACCGACTCGTTTCGGGAACCAATCACAGTGGTGCTTATGCATTTATTAAGAATCAACTCACCAATGAGAAATATAATTTGGCTGATCGACAACGTGGACAATTCGATGTCGTTGTCCTCTTCCTATTTAAGCAAAGCAGTGTATATTTCGGCTATGAAAACCATTAATAAACAGATTGACCTGCATTTAAGTACTACATGGCGATGAGAAGGCAGAAATCTGTGATTAATGGCAAACGTCTTTAATGAGGTTAGACAGGAACGCTTGTAAATGGCTAATGGAAATAGCGCAATAATTAAACAAATGCTCAACATATCAATGCACGAGTTAAATTCAAAAATTCACACGGAAACGACTCAAACAAAACAAACCAAAAATCGAACGTGGCGGTTATTTGAACAGTTGTGTCACAGCCGAGATGTGCTGTCAAAATGTGACTTGCCTTCAAGGGAACAGTCCCATTAGAGATAAACGATTAGTTTTAAAAATGTACACTTTATTTGTCGTGATAAAGTTTAAAAGAGGTAAGGCGAACACAAGATTAATTAGGCCAAAACAACACGGAGATTTCCCGAAAGGATTGCAACGCTATTGTATTGTGCAAAAACAGACACAAATACATTAAAAATGCATTACCTTTATACCAAATTTTAGCAAAAATTAGCCTGATGAAAATTTTTTCGCAAAATTTAAAACAAGAAACTAATGTTGAAGTTAATAATCGAAAATATGTTAAATTTATCAAAGGGACTCGAAAGCATGATGAAACAATATCAAACACTGCAGCGGACAGTTGGCAATTAAAACGTCATAGATGCGTTTCAAATATAACCCCCTAACGTCTCTCAGACGATCAACAACATCGTCGACAAAACTATTAATGTGTGTCAATACATTTTACAGGTAATTCTGCTCAAAAATCACAAATTCT